GGGGAGGGGGGGGGCGAGGAAATCTGTGCTAAAAAGAAATTTAGCTCAGTCGCTGCAAAAAAAAGAGCCTGGATGCTGCTTTCGGGCCTTCCGCACTCGGTGGCCAGCAGCAAGCGGGAGCTGCGGGGAGCCCCCCCGGTCCCCCTGAGCATCAGCCAGGCATGGGAGCTGCGAGCTGCAGTGGAGCCTGCCTGCCTGCCCGCCTGCCTGCCCGCCCGCCAGGAGCAAGCTGTAATTAACTTCTCCCAAGCATCAATTCGGGCAGAGCTGTCCGCAAGACAAATGGGGAGCTGGAGCGAATGAATAGGCCTGGCCGAGCTGCAAAAGCAGCCCCCCATGTGGTGTCCCCAGCCCTGGGAGGGTCCCCGCAGGCCCCTCCGTGCTGCAAGCGTGGCTCGAGCTCTGCAGGAGAAATAAGAAGTTGTGGGTCCGATCGGCGATGCTCATACCTGGGGTGGGCAGCCTCCTGGGAGCAGGTCGCTGGCATTCAGGGAGTACAAAGAGAGGGGGAAAAAAAAAAAAAAACCTAAAGGATTTGCTTGTGGGAGCAGCACTGCAGCAGCATCGGTGCAGCACAGAGCCAGAGCCCCGCTCACAGCTCGGCCGACTAGCGAGCAGGCTTCGGCCAGCGGGATGTGGGGACAGCCAGCAGGATTTGGGGACAGCGGAGTGGAGAGCTGGTGCCCAGGGCTGCTTAAAGGGACACTCACAAGCTCAGACCCAAAAAAAATGTCATCTGCCTTATTTGGTGAGGAATGTTTGTTTGTTTTAAATGAGTGCTCCTTTGCTGGGAAAATGAAAGAGATGGGAATGGGGAAGGGGGTGGGAGAGGGAGAAAATAACCCCTGCTGTTTACATGCCTTGGGATTAGGGCAAGGCATGGCCAAGACGCCCTGAGCAGTCCAGTGCCCCGCGTCCTTCTTAAAAAGGCAATCGGCCCTGCTCACGTCCCCATCACAGCCAGCGGCACAGCATGGGACGCCTGCGCCCCGCAGATGTGAAATCCAGGAGGCGCAACAAGTCTGCCCGGGCGGGAGCACAGCCCAAGTCATGCTGCTGGCGATGCCAAAGGCCACCCCAGATATGTCTGCAGGAGGCCTTGGCTCCCCCCAGGAGCCCCATCCCCAACCCACAGCATGGAAACGGGCCAAAGGGATGAAGGACGTCTGGGGTGATGCAGGTCCCAGCCTGGCATGTGGGTGCAGAGGGGGAGAGGGGCCGGATCCTGGGGAGCAGCTATTGCTGGAGCATATTGCACCGGGAGGGAGCGGGGGCTGCCGGGACTGGGGTCCCACCACCCGGAGAGACACGCCATCACCAGTCCCTTATCTAGGGGAAAGGAAGCTTCTGTATTTATTTTGTGTAGGAAAAAGCTGCTTTTTTAGTGCCGATAGAGCCCCCGTCACAGGCTCCCCGCTAACCCCAGAGCTGCACTGGAAAGATAAACACAGCTCTTTTCCTGAGCATAACAAAGTCCCTCCATAAAACGGATTTTTTTTTTTTCAGTCCTCTGGTACCGTTTTCTCCTCCTGAGCGTGTGCAGGTTATCCCACCCGAAACACTGCATGAGCATCCCCAACACAGCGTGGCCGAGGCAGAGCTGGCAGCTGCTGAAGCCACATGGTGATGCAGATGGGAACGGGGCAGGATCGCACCCTGTCCCTTAGGGAGAGCTGGGCACCCCGGGCAGGGGCACCGCGCACCCCCCTGGCCAGCCCCTGCCGAGCTGCTGCCTCTAAACCCATTCTGCATCCCGGGGGGAATCCTGCCAGTTGTGGTGCCTGGGATCTTGGCTGGGATCTGCCTCCTTTTCAGCCTAGGAAAGAGGTTCCCTTTTCCTGGCTGAGAAATAAATCAAGCAATAAATAACTCCACAGGCCCCAGGAAAGAAGAAATGCTTTGAATTTACCCAGGAGGGGCTAACGCCGGGCTAGTCCTTCCTAATGTAATTGCTAGGCAGACCCTGCAGGGAGTTCTCCCTGGATGCAGTCGTGCTAAGGTATATCAAAGCCAGATCCTCAGAGGTACCTGGCAGAGCAACTTTTAATATAATAGCCTTAACTCCTAAGTTTCTCGAGATGTGCACGTGATTCAGCCTCCAGGCTCCCAGGAAAGTCCCAGCAAGCTTTGGACATGGTGCAAAATGGGGCTGGTCTGGAAGATGAATGCCATAAAGATGCCAAGTGCTGCATCTCCCTCCCAGCACGCTCCAGTTTGCCGGTGTTTTCCCCGGATGCTCCCTAACCTCTGCCTCGTTGCTCCCCAAAAGCAGCAGGGCCGGGGGTAGCGGTGAGAGAGGGCGTCAGCCTCGTTTACTGCAGCGATGCTCTACATGTGCTGCTAATTAGTGGCATGAGGAGTGAGTGCTTTCCTCTCCAGTGAGAAGCAGCTAATAAACTAATTAGGATAATGGGTAACTGAGCAGATAAAACTCTTAAGCTATGTGCTAACAGGTCATGGATGGGTGTGGAGCCTTTCCCCCAGCCACCAGCTCAGCAGCAGGGTGGGCAGCAATGCACCAGCTTGCGTGACACCAGTGGTCCCAGCCCTGCCGCCCCAGTGATGCTCTGTGCCCCAGTGATGCCCTGCGTGGGGAAGGGCCCTGCAGGTATTTCTCTGGGGATCCTGCTTTGCAGCATCCTTGTGCTTTTTTTCCCCAGGGAGCCACAAGCCCAAAGTCCCTTTATTTTTGCACAGATGCTGCATTTTCCACATCAATGCCCCACCACCCTGGGCAGGCAGCTGATGCTCGGCAAGGGGACCTCTGCCAGCTCGAGGCTGGTGACAAGGGTGACCCCGGTGGAGGGCACTCACAGTCAGTCCCCATCGCACCAGGAGTTTTGTGCCTTTTTGGGGTGCTGGATGAGGGGGAAGCAGATGCCTCCCCCAGATATGCTGCGTCACTCCCATCCATCCCCGGCAGCTTGTGGATGGGGTAGGAAAGTGTGGTCCCAGCCCCGCAGCATCCCTCTGGGCAGTGCCACCAGCACAGGGTGAGGCTGGTGACAGAGCCCCTGGTGCCACCGAAAGAAAGGGCTGCAGGAGTGAGATTTTAACGGGTAAGACAAATAAGGGCTGTGTAGTCCACAGAGCAGACAGCCTAAACAAACGTGGGTGTAGGTTTTCTGTCTCGGAAGAAGTTGGTCAGCTATGGAAAATGCCCGAAGGTTAAAAAATGAGACTTTCCACCACCCCACCCAGGAGTGCTGAAACAAATGAAGTGATATCTACATCAAAATCATAACGGGCTTATTTCCAGATCTAGGGCACGCGATCCGGTCAGGAACTGCTCCTCCATCGGAAATCACCAGAGGGTGCTGAGCCCAGGCCAGCTCGGCGCTGCCTGCTCCCACGCCGGGCAGCCTGGAGCCCGCCTCTCCCCTGGCCAGCATGGGAGTCTTACCCTCCCCACGGCTGCCAGCCCACCCAGAATCCAGGTCATGGGTGGGAACGCTGCTTCCTGCATCTGAAGGGGAGTATTTGAGGCCAAGAGTTGATGTGACCTTGGGCTCAGGCAGAAAGCTGCCACGTGGCCCTCCCCACCGTGCGCTATAACCGTTGCACTTGCTCTTGTCCTTTCCTCTGTTCAAAAGCAGCTGTTTTTAGTCACCGCTCTCCCAAAGTGCTTAACAGCTCTCTGATCCCAGCTGGAGAAAAAGCCGAAGAGAAGAGCAGATCATCTACCTTTGCAACTCCCTCCCTGGCTCGAGCTCCTTTCTCTCCATTTGCATCACATGTGCAGCGAGCTGGGACCGATTCTGTAGTGTCCCCTCCCTGAGCAGACACAAGGACTGGACACGGCAAGGGATGGAGGGAGCCCTGTCTCACCATCGGGTGCCAATGGACCACCCTGCACAGCGTTAATACGAGGGCTGGGGGTTGTTTTCCACTGCTCCTCCAGCCTTCCCATTTCAAGGCAGGAGGTGAGCCCATCCTCGCCTCCCCACGCTGATGGGGACCTGCCCAGAACACAAGCAAGCCCCAACGCTGCAAACTCTACGCTCAGATTTTGGGGCACCCAGGCAAAATCACAATTGCAAATTGCAGCTGGTGGGACCCCCGCAGCATCTGCTCTCCCCCGAAACGCCCACGGCTGGTTTCCTTTGCGCCGTGTGCCTGGGCTCCTTCCAGCCCTCATTAAAGCAGATGGGAAAGGAGCCCTGACCCGCTGGCGTGGGACAGGTTGGGCCATTTATTCCACTGCGGGTGGGGGAACCTTGGCTCTCGTTTGCCGAGTGCCTGGGGTAATCCTGCATCATCGTTAGGTTATTTTTGACAATCACAACTTTTTTCCACAGGCGTGAGGAACCACTCGGTGCCCATCCCAGCAAAACCCCCCTGGCTGACACCTCCTGAGCCTGATCCAGACCCCTCCATCAGCAGGTCAGACCCATCAAGGGCATCATGCAATTAAAAACCTGATTTTAAACCTTTCTGCCCTCATCCTCGCAGGGCTTTTAGCTGAGGGTGGAAGGAGGGAAACTTCATTACTCTGGGCTGGGGTCACTTACTAACCTGCTGGTTCCTAATGATGCGCTTATCTCCTCCTGCCAGCCCTGGACTAGATCAGGCACCTCCGGGGGGGACTCTCCTGCCCTACATTGCTCTCTTTTCATTAGCTTTTCATTTTGTTTAATTGCTCCTACAGATTTGCCCGGGGTGCCTTGGCCTGGGGGATGCCCGCGGGGAGATGGGGCAGGGGGTGCAGGGGAGTGGGACAGTGCTCTGCCGGGCAGAAAGCTGCACCGAGGCGTGGGATGCCGTGATGCTGGTTCACGGTGATGGGAAGAGCGGGCAACGCCGATGGTCTTGCCTGCTGCTGCCCAGCTGCACATGGGGATTTGCTATGGACCCCTAGACTGGCTGGGGTAAATATTTGAGGTGACAGATACCAAATTTGTGCAGAAAGCACCGAGTACCAACTCTACCCAAGAGCTTTGCAGCTAAAACACAGCTCTCCTCCCCCCCAGCACTTGCACCACCACCCCGTGCCCAAAACACAGGCAAAAGCTACTGGTGTGGGGTGCAGCTCGGGGGGACCGCAGCTCCCCGGACCCTCTCCCTGCCTCGCGCCTGGCTCTGACCTGCGGTGGTGGTGTCCACGTCCCTGGCTGCCAGCTCCTCCAGCTCCGCCCTCTTGCGCAGCTCCAGCCGCCGCGAGAAGCCCTCCCTGGGCTTCCAGAGGTCCTGGATGAGCAGCGGCTTCTCGTGGTCACCCAGGATCCTCAGCCCCTCCGTCTGCCACCGTTTCTCAGGGCCCTCGAACCTCCCGATGACATCGCACAGGGCATACTGCCCGGCACTGAGCTGGCTCAGCCCGTAGCGCTCCAGGGCTTCCTTCACCAGCTCCCGCGCACCCGAGCTGCCCGTCGCCAGCACGCTCTTGTAGTTGGTGCCCGCGCAGATGTTGCCCCCAAAGATCTTCAGGACGCCGGGGGCTGAGAGCTGGGTGGAGAGCTCGGCTGGGTCATCTTCACCGGCTGCCAGGGAAGCAGAGGCTGAGCTCCGGTCCTTGTAGCTCAGCGTCCGGTACAAGACCTGGGAGAAAATCCAGCTCTGGCGCTTCAGCCGGTTCTTGGATGGTGGAGCCATGGTGGAGGAGGACCCATAAAACATCGTGCGTGAGGTTGTCATGGGGTGCAGCTGGGCAGGGAAGAGGAAAAAGGGAAAGATCAGTGGTTTGGAGGCCAGATGTGCAGCAGAGAAGAGCAAGCAGGAACCGGCTGGTGGCCACAGAGGAGCCACTGTCACCTCCAAGGTGGAAAGGGACAGCAGTGAGGGAGGGCCGTTGCCCTTGTGCAACCCAAAACACCAGCAGCCAAGCTCAGCTGGGCTCCTTGGCCTCAGCACAGTTACCCCAGGGTGGATTTGTCCCTGAAAACATAGCCTGGAGTGATCCCAAATTTCTCCATCGTGTGTATTCAGAGGTCCCCCTTGTCCAAGCAAAATGCAGCGGGAGGAGAGCAGAGCCCAGCCGGACTTGGCGGGGCCCATCCTGGTCAGGAGCCAAGGCATCGGGAGTTACTTTCACTAACGAGTTTATGGAGCAATCCCATTTTTTAGAGGTGAAACAGAAAGCTCAAGTACAAATTCAATCACTCTGAGGTCACCGCTAAATGCTTTTGCTCACCAAGAGGCACAGGGTGAAAATGGGCTTTAATTAGCCTTTCCAAAAATGTCCCGACTCTGGCAAATCTCTTGGCTGTTGCTAGTTTGCGGAGGATGTTAAAGCACGTGGTGGCATCGCTGACAACACTGCCCTTGTCACGTTAGCCAGGGCAGGGCTGCTCGAGGCAGCCCCGGACGGGCAGCGACTGGAGGAGAGGTGGCCACGGCCGTGCGACAGCTCCCGGTGCACCTCGGTCCCCAGGAACGGGCTGGAAACCATGATGCTCTTCTGGCTTTAGGCAGATAGCAGTCCTGCCCGATGTCACTGCCAACATCTGGGGCCAGCTTTGAAATCGCATCCTGGATGCACAAACACCCGGTGCTTGCATGGCACTGATAACGCCACCGGTTGCACCACAAACCGCTGGCGGGGAAGGTCCGGAAAGAGAATTTGAGCATTTCTGATTCGGACAGGATGGGGATTTCCTTCACCTCCAGATTTATAATGTTCAGCCTGCGTGCAGGGAACAGGCATGGGCAGGGACTCGGTGCCTACACAGGGGACCCCCGCAATGTCCCATCCGCAGCTATGGGAGTGCTTTGATGCAGCAGTCGGCATGATCCAGCCGTGCACGGCTGGGGAGATGCAGGGTGCCGGCAGATTTCCGCATCTGCAGCCCCATCTCGCTCGGGCAGGATCTCGCTGCCGGAGCAAACCCAGCGCTATCAGGCAGAATGATGTCGGCCCTGGAATACCTCCAAACCACCATCTAATTCAGGAAGAAAAAGCGTCCCTGCTGCTAATGGAAGAGGTCACCTTCTAACCCAGAAACAACCTCCCAGCTGTGCATGGAGGATTTCTGCAGGGTGTAGATCTCCCCATCCCAGGACCAGAGGCCCACTGAATGCTGCAGATGGGGAAACTGAGGCACCAGCAAGCGCTAAGGCTGCAGGACGTGCCTGGGAGCTGTGTGATCCTGCTGCACCCCAAGTCACCCCTTTTCCCCCCAGTCCCACCAGGACTGTGAAAATGCTGGGGTTTGTCCCTTCTTCCCAACCCACTGGCTCGGAAAGTGAGGACACAGTGGCCGTCCAGGTGCTGCGGGGCAGGGAGGGGAGCCGGCAGCCACGCTGGCACATCGCTGCTGCCTGCCTCACTGAAGCTGAGCTTAGTGATCAGCCTGGAAAGCAGAGCTTAGCATCTTGTGTTTCGTACCTTGCCAGCCGAGCACTGGCCCCAACAGCTTCACTGCAACTCACCGGGTTTGGGGAAGGCTGTTGCTGCTCCCACCTTGCAACTGGGGAAACTGAGGCAGGGATGGGGTTAAAGCTACAGCTCCCCCCGTGCTGCTGCTCCTCCTCCAGCTGAGCCTGGGGCTGCCACTCCTGCTGGGGACATCCCTTCGTGTCTGCTGTGTGACATCTCCCGGGAGCGCTGGGGCGGACCCGACGTGGGGAGCAGGTCCGGGCACTGACGGACAGCCGGGTTCAAGAACAGCTTCCCCAGGCTGTTAGCACGGCCCTGCCAGCCCTCATTAACATCGAGCAGAAGAAAAACTACCCCAGTGTCCCTATGAGACCTTGCCATCAAGGATGCAAGAGACAAAATTTTGTCATCAAATCACTGTTTTCAGTTCAGGGATTTAATTTCCTCCACCCTGAACCACCTCCAGCACAAAGGGAAACCTTTTAACATCTGCTGCCGGTAAAATAGTTCCTCCAAGCTCACATCACAGACAGAGACACCATCCTCGCTTCTCACAGGTCCCTGCCTGGTTTTGAATATGTTATTTATAGCTCAGCTATTTTCCTGCTCTTTCCATCAAATGCAGCTTCTACAGAGTGCAGGGGCAAAGGTATTTCACAGGGAAAAAATACAAAGCCTGGACTGAGAGAAGCTTCTAGCCTGGTCACCCTGTTATTCAACATCTGCAGCAACACCGATGCGATTTCACCAGGCACCAGCCCAGGCCACCTGAGAAATTGCAGCCTTATCCCAAAGACAGCATAATGCACGGTCTTAATCCCCTCGAGGACTCGAGTGGATGCGATAAGATGATAACGAGATGGGCTCTTCCCGCATCTGTATGCTCAGGCACGCCAGTCACGGGCATCTCCGAGGAGGCTAAAGAGAAAACAGCGGTACATGCGATGCCGTCTGGTCCTGCTGTGAGGGCGGGGATGCTCCAGCTGGACCCAGCTACCTGGGGACAAGCCGGCAAGGGCGTTAACTGGGCACATCTTCCCACAGATCGGTAGGATACGTGCTCCGGGATCTCCCCAGCCCGGGCGAGCCCCCTCGTCGCTGCAGGCAGCCTGGTTCCCCACCTGTGCCATTGGAGGACACACGCCTGCAGCTATGGAGGCATGAGCCAGACTTGCCAAAGAGTCCCTTTCTTCAGCGCTCAGTGACATCTTCTCTGCTAACGACTATACAGGAATTAGCCAAAAGCCTGTGATTGCCTCCCGGCGGGATCTCTATCAGGTATCCTCCACCTCCTCGCATTCTGTGCCTGGCCACACCAAAACCTGTTATTTTCCCCAGGCAGCACTGTCTGTATTTATTCTGCAGAGGTATGACAAATGCTTCTGGTATTCACATGGCCACCACATGTCCTTCCATCACCACAACCAGCTCTGCAACTGCCGGGGACTTTCCTGCGGGCTCCGAGGTTCTTGCTCCCACCATGGGTGAGCAGTTCCTTCCCGCTGCCCCCACCCAGCACCCAGGCAAAGCCTCCCCTTACCTTGCCATCCTTCTCATGTGCCTTTTCTCCTTCCATTCATCCTCTTCCTCAAAACGGGCCTTCCACCCCGTCACGCATTGTCCCAGGCAGATATCCGTCGCGCCTCTGCAAGAGGAAGAGGAGGAGTGGTCCTGGGCTGCTCACAGATATCGGCTGCTCACAGTGAGGTGGCTTTGGAGGGCTCAGAGGTGCTGCGACTCCACTGTCAACATGCATCGCGTTTGCATGCAGGCCACTGAGTTGCATATAAGCCTTACAGCTCAGCATCTCACTATATTCCCCCCTGCCCCAAACTAAACAGCCCAATCGCTCGCTGCAGTTGAGGGCTGCTGACCCTGGGGACCCGTGGGAGACACGTGGCCGGTGACAGGCATGTTTGCACATGTTCATCCAGCCACAGCCCGTAGATGGCGAAGACCAGACCAGCCCCAAGCTCAGGCTCCATCGCAGCAGGAACACGGCAGCCTTGGGGGGGGAGACGAAGCAAACCCAGCCGCGGTGATGCCCACCAACAGCATCTACCCCATCGCAAAGAGGCAGGGAGAGAACAGCTATAGGAAAAGAAACGCTGTCGGAAAGGAAAGGCGAAGGGGAGGAGATGGGACCAGCAACAACCTCGTGACCTTTATCTCCTTCTCCCAAGCACACATGTCCCTGGGGATGCCAGGCTGGGGACCCTCTCGCCCATGGGTGGATAACGAGTCCTGGACCAGCTCCTTCCCTCAGCGGCCCCAGCATGCTGGGATGCTCACCGAGATTTGTTTTTCCTGAATTTCAGTCTATTTTGCTGGATATCGAGGACAGCCACCAAGCACTGTCCCCTCGCCCACTCGGCACAGATCTGCGGCAACATGATCAGCGGTAACCGAAAAAGAAAGAAAAAAGAAGCACCTGCAAAGTGCTTGCGGTGATTTCACGGATGTTTCTCAGAAAGAGCCGGCAGGGCACAACAAATACTCTTTTCCGTGGCTCCACCGTGATTAAAGACAAAACCGCCATCTAATTAAATCACCTAATCAGGGCCTCGGTGCAGGTTTGATCCAGCCCTGGAGTGATGGGGGGGGGGGGCAATTGGAGAAACTTTCAGCCAGGCAAATTTGATCCCCCCCTGGAGTGATGGGGGGGGGGGGCAATAGGAGAAACTTTCCGCAAGGCAAAGGGTCGTGATGCGAAAGGCAAAGAGATGCTGAACCCACCTCTGCTGCCCACCGTTTCTTCCGATGATTAATCGCTCCCGCTGGTTAAATATTTATGCCTTATTTCCAGTGTGTCTGGCTTCAGCTGCCAGACATTGATTCTTGCCTTGCTTTTCTCTGCTCAATGAGCTTTTGGCTACCATGTATTTTCTCCTCTGCGAGAGTATTTAGATGCTTTAATCAAGGGTCCCCCCCATTCCCCTTTGATTTGATTTATGAGTAGGCTTAACCTCATGGCGGTCTTGTCTCTCGCTGTAAGACATTTTCTGCAGCCCCTTGGTCCCTTCCCCTCAGTTCCCACATCTCCTCCACCAAGATGGAGAGACTGGGTTTGGCTCTCATAAGCCCAAATTCGTTTCTGGTAGCACCCTGACCGAAAATGCAAATAACTGCTATTTTTTCCGGAGCAAAATTTCCCATTACCATGAAAATTTTCAAGTCTCCAAGCACGGAAATTGGGATGGACACACAGCCACCCCCAGGCAGCTCCCGCTGGAGGAGGGCGCCGGTGAGCCCCCGCACTGCCTCTCCCAGCATCTGCGAGCATCTCCTGCCCAAAGCGGTGCGTGGCCAATTTATT